ATCTAACATAGAACTTATTCATCACTAAGGCGTCCTTTATTGTTTCGACATCCATATATAAATTTAAGGCCTGCGCTACTATCATGATTTTTTGCACGTGGTATATACGGGCGCCGCCATCTTATCGGCTGTCGCGTACGAGCTACGCTCACTTGTTTTCGCTACAATCACTGTGCACGCGCAATCGCCTTCTATCGTTTTTGCGCGAGAGCTCATCTAAAATGCGCGAAAATATTAACGCGAAGCTAACCGGCTTACCTCGCGAGAGCAGCTCATAATCGTGTCGTTACTCAGGTTAACCTCGTTTAGTCTCCTGGTGTCACTGGAAAAGTTATCTATTTTGAGTTGGGCGTCCGCCGAATTGCTTGCGCACGATCTCCTTATATACCAGTCGTGGCACTCTTCTTTAAACACGAGGACTAACCGCGCTCGGTCAGTACTCCGCGAACAGCTATCGTAGACTTTTGTTCTCTATGTCTATCTCTCTTCCTGCATAGTGCGCGCCCTCAATTCATGTCCGGCAGGTGCTGCCCCTCGCAAGCAGTCGTCCTGACGAGGTGAGAGCGCAGATATAACGTTATAAGATATAATAGATTAATTTGACATACGTGAAAAATAGAACGGCACGTGACAGAACATATATATGAATAAAGAAGAAAATATAGTCTAGCTTTCAAATATATAAACATTTGGTGACAGTACATTTGGGTATATCACCGTTGCACAGTTTACGTTATTTTAAAGTCAATCGAACCCATAAAAAACGAAAAAGTAATTTATCTGTTAGAAATTGCTATTTAAATATCATTTTGCCTTTTATGAAATGGAATAGCCATTATTTGACATTTTATAATTCATTAAATGTTACTAAAATATAATAACACAACATAAAAATACAATTTTGTATAAAAATTCTTTTAATATTCAGCTAATATTTTTAATAAAGACAAAAATGGATAATGTTCAGTAAATATTGTGAACGTAATTTTGAACGTGCAATTTTGAAGTAAATGTTCATGTACAAGACATTTAAATGTTATTAAAATAAGGACATAACTTTTTTTAATTATTTCGTTTTCAACTCTTAATATGAATTGTACATAATTATTTTAAGTTTACTTCATACAAGTAAAAGTTAAAACAAATGCTGGACTTTAATCTAGATAATCATTGTTTATTACGTTCTTGATTTGTTGAAGCTTTTGATGAAGTAAAAATTTATAACAAACAAACAATAAAAATAATTATTTTAGTACAGCTAATTGAACAATATCAAATCACAAAATTATTTGTTTATTAAACAATTTCATATTAAAAATTATTGATTTCTTTATTTCAACGAAATTCCATGCTATTACAGAATACAAAACTTTACCTATATATAGGCATCTATATTTGCAGTAAATAGTTCGCTGCCATGTTAGAGTGGAGTTTGGCTGCCATGCCGAGGATTACCGAGTGCCGTTGACTATCGGCGCGCGCCTGAAGGGGTGATAGAGGAGAGCGTCAACTGTATCGCGTCTTCCCCTTCCACTTTATTCACGTAAAGTTTCTTATTTATATTTGATCTCAACTTTTTAAACTCATCTCAGTCAAGCTTGAGCCATGTTCGTGAATACATTTTCTAGTCTATAATATAGTCTTCGATGTTATTATGATTCGAGTTAATTATGATGTGAGAATATATAATATGAACGAATTCCAAATATTGAATGTTCCAACATGTGTCGAAAAAAGATGATAAAAAATTTGAATCATAGTGCATCACATGAAGAAAATAGAGAACGTATTTGTTTACTATGTTTGGTGACTTCAAAAATCTATTGAAGATTTATGGCCCTATTAAAGATAAAATTGAAAAAGTCATTGGACTAAAAATCTGATACCTACTACCTTATGTGATTTATAGCTTATGTTAGAGAAAGTTGTGTCAATTTAAAGAGGTGGAGGATATAAAAAAATCAGTGTGCATCGTATTAATAATTTATACAAGTAAAATAGGCATGTTTTTCCAATTTGTGATCGTGTACTGATAATTCGATTGAAAAATGAATAATTTGGTAAACTGATTTTTTTTTCATATCCATTAACTCTTTGAATTTATACGTATATCTTTCTCTGGTATGAGTTATAAATCATATAAGGTAGTGAGTATTAGATTTTTAATTCAATTACTTTATCAATTTTAACTTGAATAGATTTTTTGGTGTCACCCAAACGTAGTAAACGAATACATTCTCTATTTTCTTCGTGTGATGTACCATGATTCAACTTTTTGAACAACATTTTTTTTCGATATATATTGGATCACTCAATATTTCGAATTCATTCATATTATACACTCTCACGTCATAATTAGTTGGAGGACTATATTATAGACTAAAAAACATATTCATGAACACGGCTCAAGCTTGACTGACAGACATAGACTATTTTTCCACACATTTATACAGTCTACTCAAGTTCCTGGAAAAACTCAAATATAAACATTATACGCGAGCAAAATAGTGATTGTCCACACGTTATAGTTTACTTTGACACTTGTGATATTATACTTATTGAGTTATAATGACCATCTTTTTGATTTTCTTTCAAAGATTTATTAATGAAATTTTATGTTTCAAGCTGTTATTAGATTTTCACAAATTTTTTTTTCGATTATAAATTTGAAGTACGATGTCAAATTTGAATTTTATGTCAAAACTCACAATGAATAAGTTATTTTAGGAAAGTTTCTAATGCAAAAAGAAAATAAAAGAACTGTCCAATTAAAAAAATAAGCGTTTATATAATAATTATATTTGACCAAGAAACTTTTAAAAGTACCGTATCAGCGATTTTAAATGAATGATTTCTTGTTAAAATAAGAAATTTACAAGATATCTATCTACTCAGATTTTAATTGTTAATCGATTTTATTTAACTTGCCTTCCTAGTCACCGTGGCATATATTTTATCTCATCCTATCACTGTGTTCACCTCTTGTATCGAGAAAACTTCTAAGTAAATGACACTTTTTGAAAAAAAATGAAAACAGCTTCAAGAGTTAAACAGCTACCTCTCAACTATAATTTTTATTGATTTAATTTATGTAATGTGATAGGCAACAAAAGTAATAAATTCATTGCATGCGCTGCAGTTTTGAACAAAGATTGATCTTATTGAATGAAGATACGAAAAAATATTTACTGAGAAAAAATGGGGTCTCTTGCTTTATAAGCTACAAAGTTATGATTTTTTCGACAAGCTGTTGAAGAAAGACATTTTTTCCAAAAATCGATATTTATAATAAGCTAACTGATTTCAAAAAAAATTTTCAATACTTTAAAACGAATTTGAAATATAGGATAAAATTTGTTGAGATTGCGAAGTGGCTCCTGTCCGAAATAGCTTGAAAATCCTATTTTATTCCCTTCCGATTACCACTACAACTTTAGTAATTGGTCTAGATGAACCACTAATAAATCAATCGATGCACCAAATATAAAACGCTATGGAAGTCTTATTTTGATATGATTTTTTTTCAAAAAAGTATAAGCTTATAAAGTCAACTGTTTTCAAATCAATAATAATTTAAGATACTAATATACTCTATGTTAAAAAAAGTTATACCTATAGGGCACTCTCGCTTGGATATCCGAAACGAAACCCTATATAACTTAGTGGAAATGACTACTGGGCTGTATTGACTTGAAATAATAAACATAGATTAAGCGTCGTTACATATTCGTTGTTTCAACGTAGTCGCATTCACTCTCATACATCGGTCCACGTAAGTTGTATGTTTAAAAATAGTCTAGTAAAATGGCATGAACTGTCAGCAGTCCGTGTATTCTTACGTTGTACACCACTATCACCTAATTGAGCGTCAGCTGCACGTAACTCCAATACATCACTGCTAAGAACATAACAAATTTAAGCTTCGTGGCTGAATCATTACCAATATAGTTTAAGCAAAATGTTTTGAGCACGTAATAATATTAGGAAAAGGGAGTAAGTATTCGCGCTCGACTTGCTCAAAGCACATAAATAATATTAATACGTGCTAGCATGCATAAATGCTTATAGTAAAGCGACCTATAAAAGCCAAGCCAGCTATTATTCCGATCGTACAATTAGATCAAGAAGGACCCATCGTCTGCAGCATTATGTTTGGTAACGGTATGCATAGATTTTTGTGTTGATCGTAATCGTATCCCCACGGACATTTGCAGTCTTCATCCAAGCATTCTGGTATTGGACGTACTAAAATCCAAGATGCACACTCCAAGTACTCAAAACTAGACTAATTTGTTTACATGCTATTGTTTTGAGTTTTAAGATACAAGAGTTTTTATAAATGCAGTTTGATATAACATTGGATTTGTAAACAATTTATTATACATAACTACATATGCTAACAAGAAAGTGTATCATCAAATTAGAAACAAGTTTTTGTATTTAATTCATATAAAAATCATAAGAAAAATATCATCAAGAGTTATCTCGATCAAAGATGTCTGTTTTTAAAATGCAGTAAACAATAAATGCTCATCATCGTCAGATCTTATTACTTAGCGCATTATACTCTACCAATTGCAGTCTACAGGTTTCCAATAAACTAAACATTTGTGGTTGGAATCTTTAACGCTTAGCTTATTCAATAGTAAAACTACAGATATAATAATATATATGTACACGATAAAAGATACTAATTCACACATTAATAGTCCAATACATGGAAAAAAAGAGCCGAATAACCTTCAATGCAAGCTGAGTTATCTCAAAATTGCGCTTTATCTTCGTTAGGTTCATATCAAATTTTCACATTTTAAACAAAGACTTATCTTTATCAACGCTTATGTATTATTTTGCATGCATTTATTGTGCAACTATGAATCATTCATTTGTTTACTTCAAAGTGATAGCTGCAATTCCAGTTAAAGACTATCCGATGTTCAAATCTCATGTCAAAAAAGCACCCAACAAAAGGCTAAAATAGATTAAAAAATTGAACTTACGATCACGTATAATCTCGCCAGATCCATGATCAGAGAAACTCTCATTTGATCTTATACATATACTATTTCGAAATGACCATCCTTCTGGACACCAGCACATTTCTACTTGGCATTGCGGTACAGGATTTTCTAGCCCAGCTAAATCACTACCAGAAGTGCAATCATAGCCGCTACCTAAAATATTTTCCATGTAAACTAGCAGTCCTACTAATGTTGGTGTTCCTTATTATCCTATAGTTTCTTTCTTAGTAGTAATCAAAATTAAACTTTTAACATTAGTTTTTACATTTTTCATATCGTTATCTATATTAATTGTTTAAACTTATGTCAAAAAGAAGAAAATATTGCTGTGATAGCAAAGATTGAAAGAAAAGTATTGTTTATATAACATATAAACAGATACAGCGAATTAGCGAGAACATTTTTATATCAGTATTGCTAAGTAGAGACTAGAAATAAGCAATAACAAGGTTACATTTTTTTCATATATAGGATGGTAAAAAGAGATTGAAATACCTGAAGATTTTTTTTTGCTCAAAATAGAATTTGAAAACTTCAATATTTTTTTTTGTAATTTTTTCCGTGCCTTCAAATGGAATACTCTGTTTTTAAGCCTAATACTAAATATGGTTTGAAGTCGGACCCAACTAGATTAGAAACTCTTATATTTTATTGCAGATTAGGATTCTACGAAAAATTTCACATAATTTTATTTCAAATTATTTTACCTACTATTAAAATAATTAATTTTAGAAAATGAATGTTTGAAATATTAATTACTCGTGGAGAATTTTCTGTTTGTTTATCTCAATTAAAATCCTAGAGATATATGAATTTTCAAGTCATTTCAAATCGTTTTGATTAAATTGAATATTTATATTTTCTTTAGAATGCTTTCTTAACATGAGCTTCCGGGCCTCTGACGATTCGTGGTGTTTTCTACATGTTTTTAAGTATTGATTACACATACCCCCAAAAAAAGGATTTTCTGTGCACGGAACAAAACGACTATATCCTTGTTTTTAGAGTCGCTGAATCCGAATCCGGTGTCCGTTTGTCTTAATTAGGTCAGGTTCAAGGTAATTTCAAGATCAAATATGTTTATTTTGCCAAAAATGAATTTTTAACCGTAGATTCTGAAAGAAGGAAAAATTTTACATCTAGATAAATATTTTAGTTTTTTTCATTATAACCCCCAAGATTATTTAAAGAGCGCTTTATGTTGTTAAATAAATGATTCATATGTCAATTGCAAAAAGACGAAAATATTGTTTCATGGGACCTTGGACTACTATACTTATATGTTTGTAAGATAGCTAAATCCGAATCCGAGGTTAGGTTTTCTCCATTAGATCAGTGTCAAGGTTAAGTCAAGGTCAAATTGAGAACATCCGATGAATGTAGGCAAATAGGGCCGGTTATTCATATTTTTGGGGTCGCTGAGTCTGAATCTGAAGTCTATTTTTCGCCATCATGTCAGGGTCATGGTTAAAAACAAAACTAAATAAAACAGACTTCGGATACGGTCTTAGCGACCTCAAAAATATGTAAATATGGTAGTCTAGTCCTTTGAAGCAATATTTCCATATTTTTGCAATTCACACATAAATCATCTATATAACAACATAAAACGTCTTTCAAATAATATTAGGGGTCATGATAAAAAAAACTGAAATAATATCTGAACGTAAAATTTTCCGTTCTTTCAGAATCTATAGTTAAAAATTCATTTTTAGCAGAATAAATATATTTGACCTTGAAAATGACCTTGTCGGATCAAACGAACACCGGATTCGGATTCAGCGATCCTAAAAACATAAGGATATAGTGATCTGATTCTGTGTATGGGAAATTTTTTTTTGGGTCTGTGTTATTCATAACTGCTGTTTGAAATCTCCTTCAAAAACTTTCTAGCAATACCTCCAACAATATAATTGTAAAAAGTTGTATACAATTGTAAATTATGTATTGTAAAAAGATTATACAACATTTTGAATAATATCTTATAAGATAATATTAGCTTTTGGAAGGATTCGGTTTCTTAAAATTAAGAATAAATATTCATTGTTTTGATTACATTATGTTTTAAATACTCTACAGAAAATAGTTTAACAGTGTTAATTACAGGGACCTTGGAGGCCATTCAATTATTCCTATTTGACCTATCCATTTATTGAAAAAATTGGTATCAAGAAACTGTCGAACTGTCGAACATATTAACGTGCAGCATATATTGCTGAAAACAGGTATATATGAAATCATCTTGTACTTCTCATATTGCTGAAACTATTTGTCTTTTTAATATTGTTTCATATTATACTCTTGTTAAGTTTATAACGAGCGGCTTGTAGCTCATTAAGTCTCTTTCTCTCTGAAGCTAGTAATTGAAATATTTATACTCATTCCTATACATTAACTTATAAGTTGTTTATAGCACAGAACAGGCATCAGCGAACTGGCAAGTGACGATTCCGAACCCTTTGATCAATTATCGACTGCAAATACACGACACGGACCTCGCGAAGAGAGAGAGAGAGAGAGAAAATAAGTGTGATTATTCATTGAGCATCGGACTGGTAACAAGTCTACACACGCACGCATCTACGTCCTTAGCCTGGACTAGAAGGAAAGAGTGCCTGCGATGTACACAAAAAGCGATCAAAAGGATCGATTTAGAATCAACCGATTTGTGCGTAGAAAGGCGATTACGCTACGTATTTGGGGAGGTATTAATGCTATGGACAAAAAGGCAAAGGTATTGTGTCAAGTGTACGCGCTACCGAAATTTGACGAACAGCGAAGCACTGTAAGTACTAGTTCGTAACTTAGCTTTCTCTTTCCTTCTCTTTCTGCTGGCTTGCATTTTGTTTACATTTCGCTTGTCGCAGCTATTCGCTGCAGCTAACAACGCGGTGTGCGCTTGTATTGCACCGATCTGCGCTAAGTATACGCAGTACTTTTTTGTACGCCGAAAATTTCTAACTCTGTTTTTGTTTTCTTTTTGTTAAATACACTGCCCGTCAATCACTTTTGCTATGCTTACCTCAAAATTAGGCAAACTTGAAAGTTTTGTATCTCGGTCGAAAATCATCGTATCACAAAAAAGAGCAGGGCATTTTAAAGGTAATTGCAAAAGCTTCCATTTAAGACGTACAGAGACTTAAAAATGAAAATATGTGTTTTTTACAGTAAAACAACTGATTAAAAAAATTTCAATTTTTTTAACCTCGACTTAAATCAATGCCAATTTCAAACCAGGCGGTGGAGAGCAAATCGACCTGAGGGGTTCGGAGGATAATGTCTTTCCCTTTAAAATGAGCTCCCGCGGGGTTCTAACCGATGTTTTACTACTGTGGGCAAAAAGTAAGGTGAATTTTCAATTTAAACTTCGCGGGCTTAACATTTCGGGCTAGTTCTTTTTTTCTTGAGTTGGTAGGACTGCGAATGACATCTGGGACAAATTTCATGTCAATGTCATCATCAGTAATATATTTACGCTTGTGTTTACCAAACGACCAAGAGTGCATGTTTCGATTTTTACAATGTCTGATTTAATTGAGCAAAGAAGTGCCATCAAATTTTGTTTGCGGAATGAAATTTCGGCTGCGGAAACGTTGAGGATGTTGCAGAAGGCCTTTGGTGATTCTACCATGTCGCAGAAAAATGTTTATAAGTGGTACAAAGACTTCAAAGAGGGTCGAGAACGTGTTGATGACTTGGAGCGCTCCGGACGACCATCGACGTCAACAGATGACCAACACGTCAATAAAGTGAAGGAATTAGTGCTCGAAAATCGTCGGTTGACTGTTAGAGACCTTACTGATATGATCGGAATATCAGAAGGATCTGTGAAAACAATTTTGAAAGACCATTTGGGCCTACGAAAAGTCAAATCTCGTTTGGTACCGAAAACGCTCAATTTCTTGCAAAAAAGTCGCCGCGTTGATGTGTGTGAAACAATGCTTTCTGACTATCAGGACAAGCTCAAATGCATGATTACGGGAGATGAGACTTGGATTTATGCTTACGACCCTGAAACAACCGACCAATCAAGCGAATATCGTGCTAAAGGCGAGGCCAGACCAAAAAAAGCACGTCAAAGTCGTTCAAAAATCAAGGTCATGATGACAGTTTTCTTCGATTTTCGTGGTGTGGTGCACTATGAATTCCTTCCACCCGGCCAAACTGTTAATAAGGAATATTATTTGAGCGTTATGCGTCGTTTGCGTGAAGCAATTCGTCTAAAAAGACCAGAATTATAGGCCAACAACTCTTGGTTTTTGCATCACGATAATGCACCATCTCACACTGCACTCGTTCTTCGTGACCATTTCACCAAAAATTCGACGCATATCATTCCGCAACCACCGTATTCGCCTGATTTGGCTCCGTGTGACTTCTGGCTATTCCCAAAACTCAAGAGACCACTCCGGGGAACGCGTTTCGAGTCGATTGAGGAGATAAGAGCTGAATCGAAGAAGGCGCTGATGGCTATACCGGAAAGGGACTATTTGGCATGTTTCGAGGATTGGAAAAAACGTTGGCATAAGTGTATTTTATCGGGAGGGGATTACTTCGAAGGGGATGACATTGATGTAGAAGAATAAATAAAGATTTTTCATTTTACAAACAAATTCACCTTACTTTTTGCCCACAGTAGTATAACCGAGTTACGGCGTTTTTTGTAAAAAGCAACCTTCTTTTTCCAATCCTCAATTACTTCGACTTGCGTCCGTTTTGGAAAAAAATGCCAATGAGAAAAAAGTTTCATTTTGTGTCCAGGAATACGAAAATAAAGTTAAAATAAAGAAATAGAGAAAAAAATTTTTTTCGGTTTTTTAGCGCATTAAAAAAAATAAAGGAATTTAACTTTTTTTTTACGCTTAGTTTTAAAATGTCTAGGGACGTAGTAAATCACAAAACAACTAAAACTAAGCGTAAAAAAAAAGTTAAATTCCTTTATTTTTTTAATGCGCTAAAAAACCGAAAAAAATTTTTTTCTCTAGGCGGGGGTTCCTACCGGCGGTCTCCGTGGGCCTCAGTCCGGGTCCGGCTGGAGTGCTCTGGGGTAGCCTGGCGTCGTAATGGCATGTGAACGTATCTTGAAATGCGACGCTCCTACGCGTGTTTTCCGGTCGAGGTTCCTCGCTGGAGCTGTTCGAATCGTCATGTCG